AGTGATACTGCCTCGGAAACCCAAGGAGGGGTCGCTATGAGTCGGGGCCGACTCGACGGCATATAACAACAACAACAACAACATAGTTTACCAAAATCTGTATACAATGAAATCTTTGAAAGAAAATTGTATGTGTGGCTTATTCAGGTCTGAGTAAAGAGTCTGGAACAAAGAATTCATTGGTGGTTTAGTAGAAGATATGGCTGATAAGGTGGCCTTCTGTAATCTGTGTTTATTTTTTTAATAAATTATACCTGTGAAAAGGTTTGACCTAAATTTGACTTTCTCTTTCATGAACTAGGGTGTTGTCTTCCGTATTCTAAGATATTGAGAGAAAATTGCCATTGGGACTTTTATTTAATCAAGAAACCATTTATACAGGAATTATCCAGTCTAATTCTTTCATTAACATTAGCAAAAATAACAGTTAATAATTCCATCTGTCACTAATTGATCATCACATATCAGGCATGATGCCAGGTGTTTTACACACATTTCTCTTCCTCATAGTATTTTTCAATCCACCCACTGCCATTGAGTCGATTCGATTCCAGCTCATAGCAACCCTATAGGACAGAGTAGAACTGCCCTATAGGTTTCCAAGGGTGCATATTGTTATGGAAGTAGACTTCCTTGTTTTTCTTAAGTGGAGCAGCTAGTGGTTTGAACCACCAAACTTTTGGTTAGCAACCAGATGCCTTAACTACTGTGCCACTGGAACTCCTTGTAGTTCTTCACAGTAGGTATTATTATTTGTACTTTGCAACTGAGAAAGGCTGACATTTCTAAGGATATACAGCGCATAAAGCTAAGATTTGAACCTAGATTGTTCAGCTTCAAAATTCACAGTCTGTCTTCTACAGTACAGTGCCTAAGGCATTTGTCTCCTCAGAAGGAAGATTGGGCAATCTACTTCTGTAGTGATACCACCTTGGAAACCCAAGGAGGGGTTGATATGAGTTGGATCTGACTTGATGACAGTGAGTTTTTTTATTTTATTTTAATGCTGCATAATCAATTTTCTTTTAGATTGTCTTCGCAGTTTTACTGACTTAGAAGAACTGGATGAAACAGAGCTATATATGTGCCACAAATGCAAAAAGAAACAAAAGTCCACTAAAAAGTTTTGGATTCAGAAACTACCCAAGGTAAGTGTTGAATTTAAAGTTATGATACAATTTCAGAAGAACAATCCTTATACCTGATAAGATGACAAATGTTTTTTATAACTATAAACTATGTGGGAGCTCTGGTAGTGTAGTGCCTAAGGCACTTGACTGCTAACAAGGCTGGCAGTTCAAACCCACCAGCCACTCCTCGGAAGGAAGATGGGGCAATTTACTTCCGTAGTGATATTGCCTCAGAAACCCAAGGAAGGGTCACTATGAGTTGGGTTCAACTCGACAGCACATCACAACAACAACAACAACATAGACTATGTGAAGTGTTCTTTATTGGCCTCTAGGGCATAGTGGCTAAGACACTTGCCTGCTAACCAGACGGCTGGTGGTTCAAACCCACCAGCCACTCCTCGGAAGGAAGGTTGGGCAATCCTACTTCCGTAGTGATACTGCCTCGGAAACCCAAGGAGGGGTCGCTATGAGTCGGGGCTGACTCGACGGCACATAACAACAACAACAACAAGGGTTTTGTGCTGTGAGAATGTGCAGGTGTATAGTAGAGCTGACCAGGGGCATGATTGTGGTGGCTTCTTGGCCACAGCCAACTACCCGGAGGGAGTGAGTTGGACCTGTGGTCTCGGGACCATGGTTGCAGGGGACATCAAGCTCAATTGGCATAACATACTACACAAAAACATTGTTCCACATCCTACTTTGGCAAGTAGCAACTGGGATCTTAAAAGCTTGCAAAGGGCCATCTAGATACACCGATGGGTCTCTCTTCATCCAGAGGAAAGAAGAATGAAGAAAACCGAAGATACATGGAAGCAATTAGTCCAAGCGACTGGTACACTGTGTGATCCTCGGCCTGTACGACCATGAGACCAGAAGAACTAGATGGTGCCCAGCTACCACTGCCAACCACTGGGGCGGGGGGATCAGTGCAGGAGATCCTGGGTAGAGTGGGAGAACATGGTGGAACAAAACTCAAAATCATAAAAAAGACTAGGTTTGCTGGTCTGATTGAGCCTAGTTAGACCCCTGAGACTGTGGCCCCTAGCCACCCTTCAGGTCTGGAATTGAACTCACTCCTGTGGCTTCCAGCCAAACAAAGACAGGCTTATGGGGGAACATTTACATCAGGTAGATACACTACTTGGGGTGATCAGTCATGAGTGAACAGAAGGGGCAGTGTTTTCACAGGGAGACAGCTCGGGGGGTGGGAGTGCATGGGAGGGAAGAGGTTACTACAGGGGGAAAGTGGGAAGAGAGCTGTTACATTGTGGGGAATTGCTGTCAAGGTCAGGAGACAAAATGTGTGTGAACTGCTATATGGAAAATGAATTTGCTCTGTAAACTATCACCCAAGTCACAATAAAAACTTAAAATAATATAAAAAAGCTAATAAGGAACCTAAAATATTTGTTGAGAGACAGTATCAAGTAGTTAATTTTGATCAAAAGATAAATTAGGTGTGTGTTCATAATCTTTGTCCTTATCTCTGTCATCCAGGTGCTATGCTTACATTTGAAAAGATTTCACTGGACAGCATATTTAAGAAACAAGGTTGACACATATGTAGAATTTCCCCTGAGAGGTCTAGACATGAAATGCTACTTATTAGAGGTAAGGTGATTACCTTTGTTAGTGCGGTGAGAATATGATTCTTCAATAAAATTAAAATTTCACATGGAGGTTATGAGGTGTCGAGGATACTGATTTCATTGAGCACTGTTCCTAACTCACTCCTGGGGGATGCCTTCTCCCTTGTTCTGTAGCCTGAGAACAGTGGCCCAGAGAGCTGCCTCTACGACCTCGCCGCTGTGGTGGTGCACCATGGCTCTGGGTAAGTATCTCAGTGGGCTTTTTGTGGTTGGGAATACTTGGTAGCCAGCACAGTGAAGATCTGCAGTTCTGTACCACTTTTTTTTCTCCCCATACACACACACACACACACACTCACACTCACAATTGGTTGTTGTTTTTTTTGTGTGGTGGTCGTGGTGGTGGTGGTTGAGAATAGACACAGCAGAACATACACCAGTTCAGCCGTTTCTATGTGTACAATTCATTGACATTGATTACATTCTTCAAGTTGTGCAACCATTCTCACCCTCTGTAAAATGGTCTGGGGTAGTATCCTTAGAATGTATCTAATTTCAGCGGGATAATGATCAGGAACAACCCAAAGCTGATTCCGATGAGGGGAGGTCAGATGTAACTGCATCCTCCAACCTTTCTACCAGTTCTCACACCAGCTGTCCCTCCTATGGTACTTTCTACTTCTTTGTTTGATAACCTATTGCACTAGCCACATACAACTCATAGACCACACTTACGGTTAAGTGGCTTATTAGGAAGTAACCAGGTACAACTCAGAATCAGGAGCAACAGGCTACAACTCAGGAACAGGAAGCATGTAGGCTAAGTCTCCTTCCTTGAGTACAGGACAGTTCTCTCAGCTCCTTTGGTGGTGAAGGCCTTCTCTGGGCTTCTTGAGGGGACAGGCTCCTCTTAACATCTTCAGGGTAGGCTTCTCTTGGCCCTGCTGTCTGTTACTACCAACTAGGCCACAGCATTCCTTCCAAGCCTATTGCCACTGGTTTTGCTGCTGGGCCCCTGCTGGGCCCCACTGTCTTTATTGTTGCAGCCTTTGACCTGTGTTACAGATTTTTTAGGAAGCACCTTGCCTCCTTTCTCTCTTCTTCTGTCTTCTCTTGCCTTTTCTCCTTTCTGTTTCTTCCTGCTTCCTGCTGTCTCAAACCTCATGTGTGTTTGGCTGCTTATCAGTTTCAAGGCACAGCCTGCCCACCAGGGCCATGAGCTGACCAGTCCCCTCTCAGTAGGCCACAGACACTAAATGTTGAAATAAAAGAGCTTAACAGAAGATTTCAAAGGGCGGCTGGAGAAGACAAAGTAAAGTATTATAATGAAATGTACAAAGACCTAGAGTTAGAGAACCAAAAGGGAAGAACATGCTTAGTGTTTCTCAAGCTGAAAGAACTGAAGGAAAAATTCAAGCCTTGCATTGAAGTATTGAAGGATTCTGTGGGCAAAATATTGAATGATGCAGGAAGCATTAAGGGAAGATGGAATATATAGAGTCACTATACCAAAAAGAATTGGTCAGTGGTCACCTATTGTGGTAGTTCAGTTTGTGTGTCAACTTGGCTGGGCCTGGTTGAGTGGCTGGGCAGCTGGATGTAGTATTCCCTATGATGAGACTGGTAATCAACTCCATGGTGAATCTACTGGGAGCAGTTGAGTAGCTGCCTTGGGGATTGTGGTCTGCTTCCTGCATATAAGCAGAAGCCTTGGGGAATGGTCTGTAGCTTATGGCACACTTGGACCCTGCATGTAGCCGTGTCGTCGTTCAGCAGCCTGCCATGTTCTGCCAACTCTGGGACTTACAATAGACTTGGATTAATGGCCTGCCGTGTGATTTGGTAATATCAGGACTGTGCCTTTTTATTTGTCAACCTTGGGCTTGGCAGCCTCAGCAGCCAACAGCTGTCTGAGTGAAGAAAAGCCTCTAGCTTCACTGGGCCAGGAGCTGGAGGCAGAGCTGAAGCTCAAGGCTGAGGGGCTTTCACCCAGCCCCTAGAGCCTGGCACTTTGAACTTGAACTTAAAGCCTCCAAACTTAAGAGAATAAACTCCTGTTTGTTAAGGCCATCCCGTTTGTGGTATGTTCTTGTCAGAGCGGCACTAGGTAACCGGAACACCTATTTCAGGAGGTAGAACATGATGAAGAACCAATGGTATTGAAGGAAGAAGTCCAAGTGGCACTGAAGGAATTGGGAAAAGCAAGGCTCCAGGAATTGATGGGGAATACCATTGAGATGTTTCAACAAATGAATGCAGCGCTGGAGGCTCTTACAAGTTTATGCCGGGAAATTTGGAAGACAGCTACCTGGCCAAATGACTGGAAGAGATCCATATTTGTACTCCAAAGAAAGTGATCCGACAGAATGTGGAACAATATCATTAATATTACGTACATGGAAAATTTTGCTGAAGATAATTCAAAAACAGTTGTACCAATATATTGACAGGGTACTTCCACAAATGCAAGCTGGATTCAGAAGAGGATGTGGAATGAGGGATATCTTTGCTGATGCCACATGGATCTTAAACTGAAAGCAAAGAATACCAGAAATACATTTACTTGTGTTTTATTGACTAATCAAAGGCATTAGACTATATGGATCATAACAAATTATGGATAATATTGCGAAGAATGGGAATTCCAGAACACTTAATTGTGCTCAAGAAGAACCTGTACATAGACCAAGAGGTAGTTCAAACAGAACAAGGGAGTGCTGCGTGGTTTGTATCCTTTCACTATACTTATTCAGTCTGTATGGTGAGCACATAATCCAAGAGACTGGACTATATGAAGAAGAATGTGACATCAGGATTGGACGAAGACTCATTAACAACCTGCAATATGAAGATGGCACAACCTTGCTTGCTGAAAGTGAAGAGGACTTGAATCACTGAAGATCAAAAAGTGTAGTTTCAGTATGGATTACAACCCAACATAAAGAAAACAAAAATCCTTACAACTGGACTTATAAGCACCATTGTGATAAATGGAGAAAAGATTGAAGTTGTTAAAGATTTTATTTTACTTGGATCCACAATCAACACCCATGGAAGAAGTAGTGAAGAAGCCTAACAGCAACAACAGTACAGTTGCTTAAGCAGTCCTGGTGGTGCACTGGATAAAGCACTTGCTGCTAACCTAAAGGTTGACAGTTCAAACCCAACAGCTGCTCTGCTGGAGAAAGATGTGGCAGTCTAGAGACCAACTATTTAAACCATTAAAGATTTACAGGCTTGGAAATCCTATGGGCCAATTCTGCTTTGTCCTATGGGGTTATTACGAGTTGGAATTGACTCAAGGGCAATGGATTTTTTTGGTGTAGTCATTCCACTTGCATAGTCCATTGACTAATTCCTGCAAGGTACATAACAATCACAGGGCAGGCTATAGCCTGTTGTTGTTATGTGCCGTCGAGTCGGCCCCAACTCTAGCGACCCTTCCTTGGGTTTCCGAGGCGATACCACTAGGGAAGTAGATTGCCCAACCTTCCTTCCAAGGAGTGGCTAGGGCCTGACAAAACTTACCAAGTTGTTTACAGTGTACCCAGAAGATGTCAATCAACCTGGACAAAAGTAACTAACCAGCTGTATAGAAAACTAGGGCAAAGCTTACTCCTCAGGATTTAAGGGGAAATCTCTCCAGCTGTTTTTCCATAGCACCAAGGCAAAACATAAAGGAGGTCATTTCACCACAACCTCCTTTTCTGGTTTGTTCCTCCCCCATTAAGATAAACTCACTCCCCCTACCTTTCCTACAGATTCTTTCTGATTGTTGTCAGTTTGATCCCGTAGATAAATCTTCAAAGAGCACGTGCTCAGGGCAGACATTCTTCACTAGTTCAGCTAAACTCTTGTTTGGCTGTAAAAAGACTTCAGGGGATATTTTTGGTTTAAGGTTTAATGATTATCTCTGGGCAATAGTTTCAGGGGTTCATCCAGCATCCATGGCTCCAGAATGTCTGAATTCTATGAGAATCTGGAATTCTGTTCTCCATTTCCTCCTTTTGATCAGGATTTTCCTGTAGAATGCTTGGTCAAAAAGCTTAGTTATGGTAGCTGGGCACCATCCATTTGTTTTGGTCTCTAGCCAAAAGAAGTTTTTTTTCATGGAGACACTTGGCCACACAATCCATATTCTCCTCTCCTTACTCTGATGCTCCAGGTAAATAGAGACCAACTATTGTACCTTGAATGGCCACTTGCAAGCTTTTAAGACTCGAGGCACTAGGCGGTAGAACAGAAGGACTAAATAAATATGTTAGGCTAATTAACTGACATGTCCCATGAAACCATAACTATAATCCTCTAAACCGAGGAATGAAAATCCCGTGAGTTGCTTGATTTGTCTGTACATAACCAGCCCCTGTCTTTTAACAGTCTCTAGAATTTATTCTTTAATCATAGTACTTACTTTTAGTATATATCTAACAAATTATATGGTTTCAGAGATCTTTTAGTGATTTCTGAAGTCTTTTTTTTCTCTTTACAGGGTCGGCTCTGGACATTACACAGCATTTGCAACTCATGAAGGTCGCTGGTTCCATTTCAATGACAGTACTGTAACACTGACTGATGAAGAAACTGTGCTGAAGGCAAAGGCCTACATCCTTTTTTATGTGGAAAGCCAGGCCAAAGCTGGATCTGATAAACTTTAATACCTCCTCTAAATCATTATTCATCAACTGTACCGGACAAACATTTCCAATTTTCCATAAATACTTGATCCAAGATTTAATTTCATTATGCACTTTTCAATTTCCTATTTTGGATTTAGTTTTATCTTGTCAATGGTAGTGACTTATTGAACATGGGCACCAACTAATTTTTTTTTTTTTTTTTAGTTCTACCAGAAAACCTCAGCAGATATTTTGATTTGCTGCTTTTAGTTGTAATAATTCAATTTTTATATGTAGTTTCAAGAACTTAGTTCTCTTTCCCCTTTTTTATATCAATGTGTTCATTTCTCACTCTGAGGCACATTTACATCCATGCATTTGCTTCTCTCACGTGTTGAAAGCTAGTCGTGTCCTGATGGTGAAGAGCAACGTATCTGCTGCCTGTTCACAGCTGTACTGGAGATCAGGTTGACTCTAAATCAGGGATCCTGTGTGCACATCCTTGGAGGCCCGCAAGACTTCAGGGACTGCATATCTTTTTGCCTATAAAAGAGGACTGAGGGCACTGCTGAGTGGACTAGGCAGCTGCTGCTCTCCTGGCCCTGAAGGCCGCTGTCCTTTGGCACTAAGCTTAAATTTGGTTCAGTTGTATCTGTACTGCAAATTCAAGGTTACTCTCTTTCTTGGGATTTTTGGTTTGGGGGGGTATTCTTTGTTGTGTGTGCTCTCCCCACCCCCATGGAGAAGGTAGGATGAGAATACAGAAAAGTCCTAAGATCAAATTTCTTAAGTGTTTAAAAATTCTGTGATTCAGCTACATGGTAGAGTGTTATCCAGTGCGAGGAAATTGTGTCTCTGTGCCTTTTTGAATCAACACCTGATTCCCCCATTAGTTATAGCCATGGGAATAATTATATGTCCTCTTTTACTGCATGCTCAGCCATTTGAGGTTGAAATGCTAACCTTTAGAGTTGACTTTGACCACCATGTATACTTTAGGTAGTCACCGTGGGGCCTCTTTCCATGGAAGAGTGAAGTAGCCTTCGCTACTTTGAGTTTTAACAACTCTCCTTGGCCTCTCTTGAGAGCAGAGCAGGTTGAAAATACTCTCACTTTGAGTAAGTAGAGTTTCTGTTCTTGAATTACTGGTCTTTGTTTTAAAATGTATCTTTTTTTTTTTTTTTGAAAAATAGGTACAAACCCTATTTAGATTTGACTCTAGTTGAAATTTGGAATCAGAATCCCATTTATAGAAGCTAATTGTGATCTCTGCAAGTGTTGCAAGCCATTCTGTTGATTTTGGATTAGTTGTGGCAGTACTTAGGCGCCCTGGTGGCACAGTGATTTAAAGCACTCAGCTGCCAGCGGGAAAGTTGGTAGTTCAAACCTACCAGCTGCTCCGTGGCAGAAAGACTTGGCAGTCTGCTTACGTAAAGATTTTTTGTTGTTGTTGTTGTTAGGTGTCATCAGGTCAGCTCCGACTCATAGTGACCCTGTGTGCACCAGAACAAACTGCCCAGTTGTGCGCCAGCCTCACAGTCCTTGCTTACTTGAGCCCATCGTTGCAGCCACTGTGTCAGTCCATCTCGTTGAGGATCTTGCTCCTTTTTTGCTGACCCTCCACTTTACCAAACATGATACCCTTCTCCAGGGAATGGGTCCTTCTAACCACATGACCAAAACAGGTGAGATGAAGTCTGGTCATTCTTGCTTCCAAGGAGTAGTCCAGCTACACTTATTACAGCCTTGAAAGATTGTTATTGTTGTTATGTGCCGTCGAGTCGGCCCCGACTCATAGGGACCCCTCCTTGGGTTTCCGAGGCAGTATCACTACGGAAGTAGGATTGCCCAACCTTCCTTCCGAGGAGTGGCTGGTGGGTTTGAACCGCCAGCCGTCTGGTTAGCAGGCAAGTGTCTTAGCCACTATGCTACCAGAGCTCCCCTTGAAAGATTACAGCCTTGAAAATCTTATGGAGCAGTTTTACTCTGTCCTGTAGGGTCACTGTGAGTCAGAATTGACTTGATGACACTGGCTGTGGTTTGGTGGCATTACTTGCAAATTGTTTAGAGTAGGAACTCCAAAACAGACATAGGCCCGCTTACTGTTTTCATGTTTATCTCTTGTCCCCATCTTTATTTTCCTTCTCAGTTTTCTGCAAGTTGTTACAAGGGACAGAATATATTTCATGTTAAGCCACCCATCCAGACTCGTTGGTTATCTTGTTTTTTGTTTTTTCCATTAAAGGAAGGAAACGGTCAAGATCTTTTAAGCGTATGAATGTAAAGGTCAGTGTCACTGCTGGCTCTCTGCCTGCGTCAGCATCTGACGGGGCAGGAACAGATGGGGCTCTGTCTCCATGTTGGTGCTGGCTGGATAAATCACCCACCTTTCTCAGAGCAGCAGACATCTGCTGGACAAATATTTAAAATGACAAGGAGCAAGTTGCAATTAAGTCTTGAGATTGCACTGTCCATTACAGTACCCCTAGCCACATGTAGCTATTTTAATTAAAATTTAAAAACTCAGTTCCTTGGCCACACTAGCCATAGTCCAAATCTTCAACAGCCGTATGAGGCACTAGCCAGTGGGTCTAGACCATTTCCATCATTGCCCAGAGCTCTCTTGGACAGCCCTTGTCTGAATTAGCACTAGAGTTCAGGTCTTACCATTTAGAACCAAAGGGTCCTAGTGGATAATTGGGAAACATGTATTTTAAATAGTTGCTAAATTATATCAAGTTGAACCACCTAAAATTGTGATGTTTGTTTTTTACTTAAAAAAATGGCAGTTTGACATGATTTGATCTTACATATTGATTCAATAATCTCATGTCTAAATCATCCTGAAATACGAGTTGTCTTGATCTTGCTAAATGTCTCCTGTGACTCTGGGCTATTTTGTTTAGGAGGGAGACAGCTGTACCTTTCTACACTCAGATCTTTGACACCAGTTTCTCTGAATGGGCAGCTGTTACTACTTAAACAGTAAAGACTTGGACGGTGTTCATGTTAATGAAGAAAAGCTCTTTTTATACCAGATGGAACTTAGCAGCAGACTGGACTGCTTTGTTGGGAGAACGGTCTTCTGACCAGCGACACTGTTGGCTTGAGAGACGAATACATCTCTTTGAATTTTTTGTAGGGTTTTTATTGCTTGACTTTAAGCGGAGATGTTTGAATGGTATCATGAAGGCTCTTGGAAAAGTGGTTGGATCCGTGTGAATTGTGCACTTGAACACCAGTGACGTCAGTGTGCCTGTTTGCATTGTAGACTTAGCTGTGTAGCCTTATCACACCTGTTTTAAAAGCTGATCTTTTTGTGCTCTTCAGGGATTTCTCCCTTGTGCCATGTTGTCTCTAGCATGTATGTGGCTTCTCATTCAGAGAGCTTATGCTGAGGCAGGGCCTCACGCCGAGTCATGTGGCTCCTTGGAACAAGAAAATGTTCTTAGAATTCCTCCCACACAGGTGGGTGATAGAAACAGTTTGTGGCAACACAAATCTCTCTCCATGGTGGAGAAACCTTTGCTTATCCACTGTATTCTACTCAGTGTATAGTGATGATAAATGTAATAGAATTAAACCAGTAAAGTGTACTGGCCCTGGTTAAGTGTTAAATGTGTATCTCACCTGTGGAACCTACTCAGCAGCTTGGTTTCTGGGGTTGGGGGCATATTTATTTCTTAAAGCCAAACCTCTCCTTCATTGGTTTAGTATACATAGTCTATTTAGATACACTTATCCCACCTCAGCCTCCTCCATGCCCTACGTTCTCTCTTGTGCCCTCTGTTGCTAGAGTGGCCCCAGAAAGGCTCAGGGGCGAAGTCTGCCCCTGCAGCCTGTCATGGGCCTTGGTGACAGGGGTGCAGCCATAGTAATGCCTGCAGCACCAGAAGAATTGGGCATGTGGTGTTGTCATGCTGTAGTCCAAGGCCTTTGCATCTCGTCTCACTGGGTGTAGCACCCTTACTCTCAGGTCTGAGTGTGATGGATTCCAGACTGTCCTCCGGGAGCATTGGCCATGCTGTAATGTAATCATTTGCCATTGAAACCTAGTTTGTATGATGCCGAGAGGATTGTTTAATTGTGCAAGTGACCGATCTCATTTTAAGTTGTAATCACATCCCTTTTATGCTTCACCAACTTGAACTGTTTTATGGAAAGTATCATTAAAGGTCTGGTCTCCTTCCTTTTGACTTTTATTTCTGAATGCTTTTCAGTAGAGCCAAATACATAAGGATGCATTTGCTCAAGCTGTGAGCAAAGGGTAGCAAGTGCTTGCAGAATCCCCATGATTTGGGGCAACTGTTACACCTGGGCCAGGATGATGTGACCACCATGGGCACGGTTAGGGCTCAGAGATCCTTTGGTGGCTCAGTCAGGAACTGGAGGTCCCACTCACACCACATGAAAACATCTTTCCTGTGACTATTGAGCTTACTGGGTGCCCTGGTAGCATAATGCCTAAGGCACTTGACTGCTAACCAGAAGGCTGGCGGCTCAAACCCACCAGCCACTCCTTGGAAGGAAGATGGGGCAATCTACTTCTGTAGTGATACTACTGCCTGGAAACCCAAGGAGGGGTCGGTATGAGTTGGGTCCGATTCAACGGCTCATAACAACAATTGAGCTTATAAAAGAGGTCCCCTTGCCTCCTTCAGAGCTGGACTATATCCTGAGATGGACTCAGGATTGGGGTGCTGAATAAAGGATATTGGTTGGCTTTTAAAATCAAGCAGACAAGTGTTATTGTTAGAAAATAACCAGGAAAGATAAGGTCCAGTATACTGCCTCCCCACTCTACGACCCCACTACAAAAAGAAAAACAGGAACAGTATTGTTTCCACACCACTTGTTTTTCAGTTTTGCTTATTTGTCTGTTCCTATCTTCTAAAATTGAAGACAGGATGTCTGCACCTCAAGTTGTTCTCCAGGTCCTGTTAAGGAGCTCTGGTGGTACAGTGGTTAAAGCATTTGGCTGCTAATCAACAGGTCGGTAGTTTGAACCCACCAGCTGCTCTGTGAGAGAAAGACAAAGCAGTCTGTTTCCATGAAGATTTATAGCCTTGGCAACCCACAGGGGGTTGCTATGAGTCAGAATTGTCTTTGAGTTTGATTATTTTGAGTTTGGATGTCCCAAATTATTTTGAGTTGGAGGCAACTGTGCTGGTCAGCGGATGTGGCTGACATTGCTGAGGGCCAGAAGGACTGCTCAGGCACCAGAAAGGCCTGTGGGGAGCTGTTAGGTTCGCTTCCCTGGCTGGAAGTCAGATCTCTCCCCCCACCCCTTCACGTGCTTCCTACAACCAACCTGGAGGAGAAGCAAAGGGGCAAGGCTGTGACGGTTATAGCAGGATCACCGTGGAGCAGCCCTGATGAACCAGTGACTCCTCAGCAGCAGATGTGATTACACTGCTCTGCCTTTTAAGAAGCTGAATAGAACCTGTTCCCAGGGGTCAGTCCTCTGTGAAGTGATAGTTTGGAAAAGACGTGGGAGAGAACGTGGAGATAATAAGGCTCTCTGTTAAACAGTGTGGTGCTGCAGCTTACCTTTGGAGGGAAGTATAACTAGACAAAGCCCAAAGAAGGACTTCAGCTGTTACTGAACAGTTAAAATAAGTAGCTTGCAAATTACCAGTAACTGATTGCCCCTTGAAAAATTCTTCCTTTCAGTTGTTTCTTGATTTTTGTTGTTTTTAAGAAAGGCTGCCACTTCCATAGGAGCTCTGGTGGTGCAGTAGTTAAGGCATTGTGTTGCTAACTCAAAGGTCAGGAGTTCTAACTCACCAGCCAGTCCGGGGAGAAAGATAAGGCTGTCTGCTTCTGTAAAGTACAACCTTGGTAATTCTAAGGGGCAGTTCTGCTCTGTCCTATAGGGTCCATATGGATTGGAATCGACTTGATGGCAGTGGGCTTTCACTACTCCCGTTGTTACATTGGCAGAGATGGGTTATTGGAGGCACAGAGGTTCAGTTGAGACTGGCTTCAGAGAAGGGAGCTGATGAGAATGGACCCTTTTCCTTTCCTTAGCTGCACTGTGTGTAAGGGCAAAGCTACTCCAGGCCTGACCAAGCCGTAGTTAGAAGAGGGTACAGTGTAGTTGCTTCATCTGTGTTGTTGCCCCCACTTGGGAAACAAAGTATTCCCATTCAATGAGGAGAGCAAACAAAGGAACTCAGAGGTTGTGCTCACTGGTCTAGCAGAGGAAATACAGGCATACCCTGGAGATAAGTGGATTTGGGTCCAGACCACTACAATAAAGTGAGTATCACAATAAAGCAAGTCACATGAATTTTTTGGTTTTCCCAGTGCATATAAAAGTTACATTCACACTAAATTGTAGTCTATTAAGTGTGCAATAGCACTATAAAAAGCTTGACATACTGTGAGAATTACTAAAATGTGACAACAGACAGAATGAGCACATGCTATTAGAAAAATGGTGCCAAAAGACTTGCTTTATGCAGGGTTGCCACAAACCTTCAATGTAAAACACACAGTATCTGTGAGGTACAGTAAAGAGAGTGCAATAAAGCAAGGTATGTCTGTACTAGTCTAAAGAATAGACTTGATGTGTTGAACATCAGTGACCGAAAACCAGGGGAATTGTGGGAAGACATTAAGAACATCACCCATGAAAAAAGCAAAAAGTCATTAAAAAGACAGGAAAGGAAGAAAAGACCACAATGGATGTCAGAAGAGACTCTGAAAATTGCCCTTGAATGGAGAGTAAATAAAGCAAATAGAAGAAATGGTAAAATAAAAAGAGCTTACCAGAAGATTTCAAAGAGCAGCTTGAAAAGACAAAGTCGGTAATTATAATGAAATGTGTAAAGACCTGGAATTACAAAACCAAAATGGAAGAACATGCTCGGCATTTCTCAGGCTGAAAGAACTGAAGAAAAAATTCAAGCCTCAAGTTGCAATATTGAAAGATTGTATGGGCCAAATAAGGAGCTCTGGTAGCGTAGTGTCTAAGGCACTTGCCTGCTAACCAGAAGGCTGGCAGTTCAAACCCACCAGCCACTCCTCAGAAGGAAGGTTGGGCAATCTACTTCCATAGTGATACCTCCTCAGAAACTTAAGGAGGGGTCACTATGAGTCGGGTCCGACTCGATGGCACCTGACGACAACAACATGGGCCAAATATTGCATGATACAATTCAAAAGAATTTGGAAGGAATATATAGTGTCATTGTACCAACAAGAATTGGTTGATGTTCATCCATTATGGGAGGTGCCATATGATCAAGAACCAATGGTATTGAAGGAAGAAGTTGAAGCTGCACTGAAGGAATTGGTGAAAAACAAGGCTCCACGAATTGACAGACTATACATTGACATATTTCAGCAAATGGATGCCTCACTGAAGGCACGCAGTTGTGTATGCCAGGAAATTTAGAAGACAGCTACCTGGTCAACTGACTGGAAGAGATGCATATTTGTACCCATTTCAAAGAAAGGTGATCCCACAGAATGTGGGAATTATTGAACAGTATCGTTAATATTACAAGTAAAATCTCGCTGAAGAAAATTCAAAATGGTTGCAGCAGTGTATTGACAGGGAACTTCCCAGAAGTGCAAGCTGGATTCAGAAGAGGACGTGGAACAAGAAGATACCATTGCTGATGACAGATGGATCTTGGCTCAAAGCACAGAATAATACCACAATAAAATGTTTACTTGTGTTTTATTGACTGTTCAGAAGCATTCGACTGTGTGGATCATAAAAATTATGGATAGCATTGAGAAGAATGGGAATTCCAGATCACTTAATTATGCTCATGAGGAATCTCTACATAGACCAGGAGGCTGTCGTTTGAACAGAACAAGGAGATATGGTTTAAAATCAGGAAGTGAGTGTGTCAGGGTTGAATCCTTTCACCATACTCAATCTGCTGAGCAAATAATCCTAGAAGCTGGACTATATGAAAAGTGGCATCAGGATTGGCGGAAGAGTCATCAACAACTTGTGGTATGCAGATGGCACAACCTTGCTGAAAGTGAAGATGACTTGGAACACTTACTGATGAAGGCTAAAGACTACAGTTTGCAATATGGATTACACCTCAACATAAAATGAAAATCCTCACAACTGTACCAATAAGCAGCATCATGATAGATTGAGAGAAGATTGAAGTTGTCAAAGATTTCATATTACTTGGTTCCACAGTCAACACCAATGGAAGCAGCAGTCAAGAAGTCAGACAACATACTGCACTGGGCAAATCTGTTGCAAAAGACCTCTTTAAAGTGCTGAGGAGCAAAGATGTGCCTTTGAAGACAAAAGGTGCTCCTAACCCAAGCCATGGTATTTTCAGTTGCCTCATATGCATATGAGAGCTGGACAACGAATAAGGAAGACTGAAGAAGTGATGCTTTTGAGTTGTGGTGTTGGCGAAGAAGTGCAGCTAGAATGCTCCTTGGGAGCGACAGTGGTCATGTTACTTTGGTCATGTTATTAGAAAGGACCATTCTCTGGAGGAGGGTATCACACTTGGTAAAGTGGAGGGTCAACGAAAATGGGAAAGGCCCTCAACGAGATGGATTGACCCAGTGGCTACAATGATGGGCTGAAGTATGGCAAGGACTGTGAGGCTGGCGTAGGACCAGGCAGTGTTTTGTTCTGTTGTATACAGGGTCGCTGTGAGTCAGAGCCAACTCGAGCACCTAGCGATAACAACAACATGCCTGTACTGTTCTATCATCTCACCATTGTATGGGTGGCATGTAGCCTTAACTATCAGCATATCACCTCCCCCCCCAAAAAAAACAACAATAAACAAAGCTCAGAATTCACAATAGAGGAATTAAGGGCAGGGGCATAGGATTGGGTATGATGCAGTATTAAAAAATGGATCCACTATATTGTGAAACTTCTGATACTTCGGAAAGGAGAACCCAGTGGGCAATATCTCCAGGCAATTTGCCCAGAGGTAAGTCTGACGGGGTGGGGCGGATGGGGAGAAATGGGGACCCATTTCTCTAAACACTAGACCTTTGAGTCCATTTCAGCCGTGGTGATGCTGTGTGCGGAGTGTGGTTTCTGTGGCTGTGACATTCTGAAAGTAGATTCCAGGCCTTTCTCCCAAAGGGCCTCTGGGTTGGTTTGAACTGCCAACCTTTCAGTTAGCACCTTAGCACTTAACCATGTGTGCCATCTAAAAAGTTACAAAGAAGGGAAGCTAAAGAGGCTACCTTAAAGGGCAAGCATAGGCTAAAATTATTTTCAAGCAATTTATGTTAAGAGCTACCTCATCCATCCCTAGCATTTTGGGAAATAAAGGCTGGATACAGTAGAATGATACGTAATTGGAAAAATGTAAAGACAAATAAGTTTAAAATACACAAACTTAAAGACAGGTTGCTTAAGTCTTTTATGAAACAACTTGGGGCAAAAACAGGTTTGGAGGCCAAGGAAATCCCTTGGCTGAGTGGAGGGCAACAGGACTGGAAGGCAGTTCAGCCTCATCTGGAAACCATCCCTAGAACGAGCAAAACTCGCTGCAAAGAGGCATTGCCCAGGGATTCACTTCACGGCTCCGACAGCGGGACTCTGTCATCTTTAGCCCTTTACGGACAGCAGGGTTCTTCCTAGTAAGGGTGGACTTCTTGATGTTCCAGGAAATAAAAAGAGCAAAAAAGAAAAGTTCATGCTTAGGATGAGAGGCCCTCCCAGTGAGTACAATGCAAACCCAGACAGCAGGTCTAGCCAGCCACCTCAAATGAAAATGCCGCAGGAAAAGCCGAGAGTTCTCTTCTAAACACCATTGTCTGTTAAAAGGAAAGAAATCCCTTTTAAGGAAACTCTTTAACTTCAATGGGCTGCTTTTCTGCCAGGATTTCAATCTCTCTGAAATAAGCCGAACCACAGACGGCTGCACGTATGTCTGGATCCCGGCTTGCTCTCTTCCCCCTTCTCAGAGATTCAGCACCAGTTGTTAGCTAAAAATAAACACCATTCCTCAACCATATATGTCCACCAGCCCCAAGCTGGGGAGGAGGAGCAGGAGGTAGGCCAGGTCCCTCGGCTCCAGCCCCTGCACTTAGGGCGCCCCGGCACTCCCGGCCACGGCTCAACATGCTCATCACCCAGCTCAACCGCGAGTGCCTGCTGCACCTCTTCTCTTTCCTGGACAAGGACAGCAGGAAGAATCTCGCCAGGACCTGCTCCCAACTCCAGGGCGTGTTCGAAGACCCTGCGCTCTGGCCCCTGCTGCACTTTCATTCCCTCACAGAACTCAGGAAGGACAACTTCCTGCTGGGTCCCGCGCTCAGGAGCCTCTCCATCTGCTGGCACTCCAGCCGCGTGCAGGTGTGCAGCATCGAGGACTGGCTCAAGAGCGCCTTCCAGAGGAGCATCTGCAGCCGGCACGAGGGTTTGGTCAATGACTTCCTCCTCCAGGTTTGTGACAGGTAGGCCACCGGACTACCGCGCCCGCTCGCCGACCTGTGGTTTGGCGGGCTCTTTGGTATCCAGAGTCCTAAGAAGCTCCTGAGGGCCAGGGAACTGCAACCTACCAGACCAAGATGGCTCCACCGTGGGCACCTCAGAGGAGGCCCAAGTCAGACACCCCAGGATCTGTCCAGGGTGCAGGCCCCAGGAGAGGGATAAAATCATGGACTAAATAAACAATTGCTAATCCTCCTCCAGCTGTGGTGGCATCGTGCCTAAGGCATGTGACTGCTAACTAGAAGGCTGGTGGTTCAAACCCATCAGGCACTCCTCAGAAGGAAGATTGGGCAATCTAATTCAGTAGTGATACTGCCTCAGAAACCTGAGGAGGGGTCGCTATGAGGCGAATGGACTTGAGGGCAGTGAGCACAATCCTCCTCCAGCCTCACAGGTCCTGGAGCTGCTTCTGCTGCAGAGAGAAAGGCTTCAGCTGCTCCTGTCCCTCAGGCAGCTGTCCTCCCTGGCAGCCATCAAGTGCAGTGTGGGTGCAGTTGGGTCTGCATTTTGACGGCCCAGAGGCAGCAGTCATCCCTCCATTCTCCCCTACAAACTGACCCTACCAAAAAAAAAGAAAGCTAAGCCCACTGCCATCAAGTCTATTCCAACTAATAGTGACCCCCATTGGGTTTCTAGGAGCTCTGGTAGCTTAGTGCCTAAAGCACTTGACTGCTAACCAGAAGGCTGGCAGTTCAAACTCACCAGCCACTCCTCGGAAGGAAGATGGGGCAATCTACTTCCGTAGTGATACTGCCTTAGCAACCCAAGGAGGGGTCGCTATGAGTCGGGTCCAACTTGGCAGCACATAACAACATTGGGTTTCTAAGGCTGTAAATCTTTGTAGCCTTATCTTCCTTGCACAGAGCAGCTGGTGGGTTTGAATGGCCAAGCTCTGGGTGGCAGCCAGTCGCCTTACTCACTGTGCCGCCAGACCTCCTAAGGCCTGTGAAATGCTTCACTATTATTCTAGAGAAAGGTGTTACTGCTTAATGTTTCAAGTGCGCAGAGGTGCCCAGTAGTGGTTTGTCCACAGCCTAGGGTTGCCAGATTTATCTGCTGCAGTGGGTGAAGGTCCTTCTTTTCTCCTTCCTCTTCAATCCCTAGCACCCTCTAGTCTGATTTGGGCCATGCTGTACACTGCCATTAACTCGGCCCCCAACTCCAGGCTGAATGAGCTGCCCAGTCCTGCACCAGTCCAATGATCGGCTGCAGATCGGACTGTGATCCATGGGTTTTCTTGGCTGATTTTCAGTAGATCACCAGGGGTTGTCTTCCTAAGTCAGCTTAGCCTGGAAGCACTGCTGAATCCTGTCCACCATCATAGCAATACCTGAGTCTCCACTGACAGGTAGTGGCTGCACATGGGTACACTGGCTGGAAACAGAATTTGGGTTCCCGGCACTGAAGGAGAGAATTCTATCAAAATGTTTTGGCCGGTTGCTCCCACTTTACAGATGAGGAAGTGACCCAGCAAGGTCCAGACATTTGTCACAAGTCAAGCAGCCAATATGGCACCACTGCCCCCACACCAGACCTTGCTGGAAAAGGATCACTGACGACAAGCTGAGGGGGACAGGAGAGCTGAGAGAGCGCAGCACAGGCAGATCATCTGAACTCTGCAGTAGCTTCCTTATTTAACCAAATGGGGTGCAGAGGTTTGATGTGACAACAAAAGGGAATGCACATGAACTTGAACTTGGGGAGATGCAATGCAGGAGGTGCTGGTGTGGCTGGAGCACAGGGGCCAATAAGTGTTCTAGGGAAGCCACCTGTGTGACTGACACACACACTTTTTAGGGCTTGGTCCTCCCTGCCTCTAGCTCCTGATTTTTTTCTAGGCTGGTGCCCAAGTAGGGGTGCGATTACCTGCCCTTAATCAACTGAGCTAAAACTAGGGCCCCCGAACCCAGAGTCAACATCCAGGGTCTCAGTGGTTGGGACAGGCCTCTAACTAAGCATCCCACCCCAGGCCTCCAAACCCCCAATGAAACCTCTTCTCCCACCAAAGTCCTCCCAGGTATATTCAGGTGTCTCTGGGGCAGGCACCCAGTACGCTGGCTTCCACTAACCCCCAAAGGTAACACGTCCAGAGAAAACCAACGAAACAACAGTTCTGACTCTAAGAACCAGCATCCCCTCTGTCCGCAGCAGCCCCTGGACCTCTCTGGCTGGCTGGGGGTTGGGTTCCCCATTGGGGGTTCATGGGGTAAAAGCCAAGCAGCTCACAGGGCCAGCTCCTGTGCTTGACGCGGATTAAGCTATGGTGCGGTGGCAAAGGGCAGGGAGATGGGGTAGAAAGCCCTGGTGACCGCTGGCAAATTCCTTAAACTTGCTCAGCTTATTTCCGCAGCAATGAAACATCGTGTCCAGAGCTGTTAGGTGGATTTAACGAGCCACTAAGCCCCTGTTCAGGCCCGGGAAGAGGATGCCCTCCTCCGCCTTGGCCCCGGGTAACAGCGCTCTCCTCACAGGTGCCCCCATCTTTCGTCCCTCACGCTGTCAGGCTGTGGCCACGTCACCGACGACTGCTTGGTGCGTCTGTTGTGCTGCTGTCCACGACTGCGGGAGCTGCGCCTGGAGAACTGCGCGCGCGTCACCAACCGTACGCTGGTGGCCGTAGCGGCACACGGGCGCGCGCTGCAGACTCTGCACGTTGACTTCTGCCGCAACGTGAGCGCGGCCGGCTTGCGTCGCCTACGCGCCGCGTGCCCACGTCTGGCGCTGCGCGCAGAGCACAGCGCAGCCATGATTCCGGATCGGCTCCCGCGCACCGCTGCCGCGTCCGGCCTGGCCTTCCGGAAACTGTTACTGCGCTAGGCCAGCGTGGCGTCCGGCCGCGGAGAGAACGCCTGGCTGGAAGGAGCGCGGGCTGAGCCTAAGCCCTGCTGCTAGACTAGTTACTACCCCTTCTGAGCCTCAGTTTCTCCGTCTGCATATTGGGGATAATATTATCTACCTCACTTTACGATTGTATACATACTGTGTATATACGAGATTAAATGAGCATAGCAATCACTCGGGTAGTTCTCACTAAATGCCAGCTCCCTTCCCGGCGGCCTTCTGACTTGTCTCTCCCCTATGATTATCGCAGCAGCAGGAAGCATCTACACCATCCTGGAGGATTCTGGCCGCCAACGGAGTCTAGATATAATCCCAGTGTGGAGGGCGTGGCCATTCTCTGGTCGCAAATTGCGCTCGGGCCAATTTAGGGCGCCAACCCAAAGCGGGGTTGGATTCGTGCCTGCTGCGCTCAGGGCACTCTGGGAGCGGGGCGGAGCTGCCCCCTGCTGGCTCAGGCCAACGGGGGCGTGGACCGTGAGGCCCGGACCCTGCCGAGTCACCTTCCCTCCTGAGTGAACAAAGAGACAGCGTTGGTTAAGTCCTTTGATTACAGGACCGTTGCAAGCTGATGCAAAGCTAGATTTTGACCCATTGAACGCTCAGACCTTGATTTCTTTCAAGGCTTTAGTCGCCGGTGACACACATCTAGCAATCAAAGTAAAGGCTACTGGCCACACTGCTGCCTCCTAGTCAGTGCTGGAGCCACTCAGTATAGCGGTTACGGAACGTGGGGAAATTTTTGGGTAAATCAAGTCGGGGTTGGCAGTAAGCTGGGGACGAAGCTCACACTCCTAGCTCCAAACATTGCCAGCGGTGACCTCGTGGAGTCCCTTCACGGCTGAGGCCACCCACGCATGTCTTCACTGTGAAAGAGGATCTATCCGTACTCACAGCCTCCTTCATTGGTTGGACAAATACTGGGGATACAACAAGGAAAAATACAGGTTCTGTTCATGGAGCATACATTCTAGTGGGGAAGAAGGCAGTAAGTCTTGGGGGGCAGGGGAGTCCAGGGTAAGAGGGGACTGGAAGAGTGTGGTAAAGGGTTTGACCAGTGTAAGCCTCCTTGAGAAAGTGGCATTTGATGAGAAAATGAGTCAGGGAGCCAGCCAAGAGCCATTTGGGAGGAAAATATTGCAGTCTGAGGGAACAGCCAGTGTAAAGGAACTTGGCTGTCGTCTTAGGGGGTCAGTGTGGCAGGACCAGAGTGAGTGACGGGGGAGACATCAGAAAAGAACAGAGATGTAAGGGATGAGGGTGGCCTTTGGAGAGGTTACTGTGTGAATGGCCCCGGCTGGTGGCAGGCCCCAGGCCCTAAGCAGAGGTGATATCCAGGTGAAGTCCCAGGCAGTTGTGGGCAGGCAGGCAGCATTGCACCCTCTGGGACTGCTGAAGGGCTCCAGTGCTACTCCTTGGCCAGGGCCAGCATTTACTCCAACAGGGTAGCCACCCTGAGCCCCAGCATGATCTATGTCCTGAGGGAGCCAGCACCCCTCCCGCCACCAGCTGCAGAGTAGCAAGAGGGCCCCATTCCTTAGCCCCAGGCGGCTGCCTCACAGGGACTTTTTCTCCCATTGGTGCCAACAATGCAGAAAGCAAGGTCAGGCTTCAGGGGGTTAACTGTCTAAACCACCACCACTTAAACCCCAGGGCTTTGCTTTCATCATCTCCAACAAGCCCCAACTCACAGCAGGCCCTGTTTGCCTGAGTTGGAGGTTTAGCCTGGGGAAGGACATGGTCCTGGGCTTCAGGTTTCCATTCCCTTTCCCTCACTTTCTAGCCCTGTGAGAGAGTAGGTCAGCTCGCTCCAAACTTCAGCTGTACTGGGGATAGCTAGAAAACCTCGCTTGTTGAATTCTGAGGATTATGAGATTGTAAAGGAGGGGTCACTGTGGGTTCAGTTCCAAGGGGATGACCTGTATTCCTGAGGACCCCCTTTTCCATGGAAGCTGTTTTATAAATGAGAGTTCAGTTCCTTCAGATTCCTAGTAGCCTCCCACATACCAAGACTCACAATCGCAGAACTAAAGCTGTGCTGAGAGCTGAGACTGTCTTAACATTGTGTCTGTGGAAGAGTACATTCTGAGCTCCAATATGGCCATGGATGTAGCCTGCCAACCCCCAACTCCACTCCTACCCCAGGAGAGCTTTGGGTCCCTAAGCCAAGGACCATGGGAGGTGCTCCCAGAAGGCGGGCACTGATTAGACCCCTAGCCCTCAACTGGCCAACAGTCACTGTTCCTCAGCACCACTAGGCACTGAGCTAAGTACCTGGCAGAACCAAAAATAACCTGTTGATTCTAACTCACAACAACCTCATATGTTACAGAGATTCACAGGGTTTTCTTGGCTGTAATCTTTACAGAAGTAGACTGTCAGGATTTTCTTCCAAGCCACTGCTGGGTGGATTAGAACTGCTAACCTTTTGGTTAGCAGCTGAGTGTTAAGTGTTTATGCCACCCAGGGACCTACTTGACAGAACAAGGTGCCCTATTTGATCTTAAAAACAACTTTCAAAGTCGTCTTTAAGGTTTGCATAAATCAAAGGGTACTGCATACTTAAGTCAATGCACAGATTTGTTCATCTCGGACATTTACTGGGTGTCTGCCAGCTCTAGGATTCAATACCCAGGGCTTGCTTTTTGCTAAAAATCGAGCTCACCAGATTTGGCTCCATGTGGCCTGGGAGGCAGTGCTGGGCACAGGCTACCAGGCTTGGAGGCCCAGAACAAAGGTGCTGCCTTGAAGGGCCTCTGAGGAAATCTTAATGTTAAAGGCTGGGGATCAGAGTTTTCTTCAGACCACTTAAGGGTCCTGAAAAGGGCAAGTGTTTGTTAATTGAGTCAGGCTAGCAAACAATGCCCTGCCTCCTGCTGTGTAATCTGCCCAGGGTTTCCTATGCTCTGAGGGTTATGGGAGCAGATCACCAGGTCTCTGTCCTGGTAGAGGATTGGTGGGTTCCAACTGCCAACCTTTTAGTCAGCAACTGAGCGCTTAACCTCGCACCACCAGGGCTCCTTGGCCTCTACAGGGGCTGAAAGTGAACCAAGGGAAACAAACACCTGCACCAGGCCCATTTCAGTTCCTCAGACGGAGACTCAGGCCTCCTCTCCTCTCCTTGAGCTTCCAAAAGACTAGAAAATGAAGAAATGAAAAGTTTCCAGTAAAGAAATGGCATCTGGGGAGTTCCGGCAAGATGGCGGACTAGGCAGAAGGATTGCACAGACCCTCTTCAACAAAGAAAAGGGAAACCAATTAACACAGACACAGAAGATAATCTTGGACCCCTGAGCCTTGAAGGGAAGGATACAGAAGTGTACTAAATCCCAACTAGCAGAAGAATTTGCGTGAAAATACCAAAAAAGAGACATACGGAGCTGCAATCTGACAGCGAACTGAGCAACCCTGACGATACAGGCAGCTTGGAGATTCCGGACTGGTGGTAGGACCTAAGAATTAAACTAAAAATCACCTTGCTAGCCAGGGACTGCACAGAGGACTGTGCATGGTAGCTGGGGAATAAACGGAGAAGGTGAAGAGAAAGGTGGGCTGAGCTGTGGACTTTTGCTGGTCCGGAGGATGCCGCCATTTTGAAGGTTTAAAAAGTGGCTTGACTATTTTGGATATTTAAAGAGACAGCGCTCTCGCAGATTTCTGGGGCTTAAGGACACGTTCTGCTTTCCAGCAACCCCAAGGACACTTGGGGCCTGCAAGACTGAAAAGGTACGACATTCTTCTTGTTATTACATCCTATACCTGCTTGGTGAATGGAGGCGTGGACAGCCCCACTCCCACCTACCTTCTGGGCCCACAGGAACTCCATCACAGTCTGTATGCTCAAATGGAGCCTGGGTGCCCTACTCAGTAATCCACCGACTTTTTCTTTTCTTTTTTTTCTTTCTTTTTCCCAGTGATTAGTTTGCTTGTATTTGTCCATTTCAAAACAAATATTATTATTAATACTTTTTGTCCTTTCTATTATTATTCTTAACCTTCCCCTATCAGGTCCTAGTTTTCCGCATTTTTTCTTTTCCCTGTGCCTGGTTGAAATTCCACCCCCCCGCCCCCAATTTAAGGTTCTTTTTCTTTTTCTTTTCTTTTCCCCCTTTTTTATTCTCATGACTAACCCCATTCCTTGTTTTTCTTTTTGCATTCTTCCT